TTGAAAAATGCGCCCTTTCGTTTTTCAGGCTTAATGAACCGCGTTCTTAATGGACTCTCTGAGTTCGCTCTGCCGTATCTTGACGATGTCGCCATCTTCTCAAACAACTGGAAGGGCATGTCTAGCATTTACACGTCGTGCTAAACAAGTTGAAGAAGCTGGTCTTGCCTTGAAGCCTAATAAATATCACGGAGGGTGCGGCGAGGTGTCTTAACTGGGACACGTTGTGGGGCGTGGCCGGCGTAGACCTTCAGAAAAATAAGGTAGCCGCCGTCGTGAACTATCCACGACACACCACAAAATCTGAGATAACAGAATCTTGGTCCTAGCTGGATACCATCAGCATTACATGAAACTACTCCTGCTTTGCCAGCCCTCTAACTGAAGCACTTCGAAAGTCCGACCCGGTTAAAATAGTTTGGGACTCAGAAAAGGAGAATGCGTTTTGTAAGCTGAAACAGGCCCTGAGCGAAAAACCCTTTCTCATGGCACCCGATTTCTTTAAGAGATTTGTCATTCAGTGCGACGCAAGTGATCGAAGCATGGGAGCTATAAAATTCAGGAAGACAGTGCTGGTAACGAAAGGCCAGTTTTGTATTTAAGTCGAAACGTCAGCTGCAGGGAAGAGGCATACAGTACCTCTGAAAAGGAATGTGCTTACCTCGTGTGGGCCGTTCAAAAGCTAGCCTGTGATGTTCGAGGATTGTGGTCGAAAAGAACCAATGTCCTCTAACCTGGTTAAATAACATGTTGACTAAAAGTGGCCGGTTACTAAGGTGGAGCATTATACTCAAAACAGCACCTTTTTGACGTTTTCTAAAATAAAAGAAAGCTAAACGCAAATGCAGAAGCATTGAGCTGTGCGTTTTAGCTAGTACCTTCTCCACCATTAGGTCTTTCGCTGGTGAGTCGGGGCAAAATTTAGTCCTTATCACGGCCTTAGCACAGCGTTCTCGTCCATAGTGATCTCAAGGGGCCAACTTTATGTTGCATTCTATTTTATTGCGTTGTTGTACGTGCGAACATTTGAGTTCTCGTTTTAAGAGTCTTGTGTCCCACATATGCCTCTTGATATATATGGAACAAAATTCAGATAGACACGTAGCTAGGTATATGTTTTACTATATTTTGTCTGGTGTTCTTTCGGGTAACTGAGGGCACTTGCTTGTGTCGTTTGTTCTCTGTTGTCGAACTGTTCTTGACGAAATGCAGAACCATCGACAAGCGCTGACTCCAAACATTGTCAGAAGAGACGAGCGAAGCTGGCCGACAAGTTTTGGCGACAAGCCAGTGTAGCTGGGATCCGTCCTCAAGAATGGGATGCGTTCACGGAACTGACATTCTCCCCATGGCCCTGGAGGCGAACCTGGAGCGACCTGGCAAACGAGCGCACCGGACATCCGAGAAACGTGGAAGCAGCTCATCTTTACGGCGCATTGTCTGGTGGCTTGGGTGCTGTTACGCCTGGAAATCCACAAAGAACGTCAATGCTTCTGCATAGGCAATCTGTATCAAGGCTAGCGATCGAGCCCACCTGACGCGATCAGCACAACGACGTCATCAAGCGGTGGCGCCGGTCTGCCTTAGGCAACGCACAGCGAGTCCCCTCAGCCCACGAACCCGATGAAGCAATCCGCATCTTCCAGTCTGGCGAGTCTTACGCAACGCGTGGCAACGTCACTCGTACTAGGTTGCAACCACGCGCAGCGGCTCCGGATTTGGTGATCATGACGTGACGCAGCCCAGTGGCGGGTCCCTATTGGTGGATTTTGCATCACGGCCAGTGGTGCTTCTGGTTGGACGTTGGTGACGAAAAAGGTCCTCCCGGTTCCTATAAAGAAAGCAAAAAAAAATCCAAGCGGCACGTCGCCAGCAGTTGACCTATGAGTCAGAGAGAAGCCGACATACGAGTCAGAGAAGACATCTCGGCTCTTCGAGTCCATAAGGTGTCGGCCCCAGTGCCGAATATATAACGCGTCTATTTCAATGCTGTACATAAACCTTGCCTTAACTCTCCGTCGTCTCGTCCACTCGTCTATCAGCTCTGCACAGAAGCAGTCGCGAGCTGAGTAACACACGCTTCGAAATGGCTAATGACCTTGGCGGCGGAGTACGGTGCTGTGGCGCCTTCGGGACCGTGTTGGCGTCACGACTTCGTAACAACGCACGAAACGCACTCACAGCTACAGATGAACGCGAATAAGCGTCTCTGTTGTTACTTCGCTGTCTCTGAAAAGCACGCTCTTTTCGAAAACGGAGGCCGTGCAACGATTGCAGTGAACTTTGTGCACCCAGTAACTACAACAGAATTGTTGGCGTGGGATTGTCCCCACCGCAAGATAAGCGCGTCTGTTAGCGTTCCCCCTGCTCCCTTAACACGGGGAAAAGTACGCGTGGTAGATTAGAGCACGTGCCGCCGCGTCATTATGACGTGGCGACGTGCTCTCATTACGCCATCTTGCTGGTAATGCTGAAAACACGATAAATCGTCCCGAGATGCCCGTCACCAGCAGCAAGAGGTAGATATAAATAGCTTGCCAATTAAATATCGGAGGAAGTGCACAATTGTGGCACAGTCATAAACGCCTCGCAATCACGATGCAGAAGTCCCACGTTAGATTCCGCATGCAGGAGCCCTTTTCTGAATTATATATTTTTCTTTCTTGCGTGTCATATATATATATATATATATATATATATATATATATATATATATATATATATATATATATATATATATATATATATATATGACACTTTTTAAAACCACCTTAGCTATGAAAATGCTGGAGTTGAAATTATTGCCCAGGTGAGAAGCCTGCATATTCAAGATGGCGGATGCAGCAGCCGTCTTATCAGGAGCGCGATATATTACCCCCGTTCAGCGAATAAAAACTGATAATGCAGTGTTTTCTTCGGAACCCCAACGAGTTTCATGCTGACACTTTTATGGTCACATAGCGCTCAAAGTCCGTCTTAGTGTTCCTAACTTTCCATAGTAAGCCTCTAATTGCAGGTAAAGTTAATTGACGATTCAGTCACCCATACTTGTTTCAGCGCGTTGTATCGTCAGGAACAACTATATTCTAAGAATTCACGTAGCATTTACACACATATATCAAAACCACTTCACCTCTAAGTGGGCACTACCAGAAAAGAGCATGTTTCCGACAACTTGGAAGGGCAAAAGCTGGCTTCACTTTTGCTGCCAAGGCTTTGCGGAAGCTTCCACTCCAGCAATTTTTTTTAACCTCCTTTGCTATGACTATAAAATTGTGAGAAATGCTATGGCTAAGACAGTTCTGAACGCGCTTGCGATCAGCTTCGGTCGGGAGAATGAGCACTTGGGTACACTTTGGAGGTGAATGAAAATACATTCCAACCTTTTGCTGTCATAACATTCGTTGATTGATGTATTGATATGTGGGATTTAACGTACCGAAACCACCATATGATTACGTGAGACGCCGTAGGTGAAGGCTTCAGAAATTTCGATCACCTGGGGTTCTGCATCGTTCAACCAAATCTGAGCTCATGGGCCTACATCGCTTTCAACTCCAGTGAAAATGCTGCCGCCGTAGGCGGAATTTGATCCTACGACCTGCGTCCGGCGATTCGTGTGGTGTGTCCTAGAATACAAAGGAAACACAGAAGAGGCCCATTTCAGCCTCATAGTTTGGTGGCAACACCCCTTCGACCTTCAAAAAGAACTGGCCCTGCGAAAATCGGCTGTGCTAATCTTACTTGGAATAATAATAATAATAATAATAATAAAAGTTTGCAGATGCCACGTACAGTGGGAATCGATGATATGCGAAACACGGATGATGAAGGTTCATAGGACACTTTAAAATCAGCACAACGTTATGAGGTGAAAGATAATTATGCCGCACATGACTTACACGTCATGATCATCATGTTCGGACGTGTCATTTACGTTCGCCGTCAATTCACGTCACGTGATACCAAATTGTTATATGTGGAGCTAACGAAACGGCTGCGAGCGTGCTATGTAGCGTAGAATGAATTCATGTTTAACTTAGCACGCATATCATGATTATCATGGTTGGAAGTGTCATTATATTTTTCGTCCATTCATGTAACGTTATAAGAAATTCGGTATATGTGGAGCTAGCGAGATGGTTGGGAACGCGTTATGAGCGTAGCATGTAGTTCTGTTTTACATGACACTCTTATCATGATTATCATGTTTGGACGTGTCCATTACCTTCGTCGTCCATTCACGACAAGCAATATTAACCCCCGTATTCACAAACGCAAAGTAATACGCATTATAAAAAATATATTTCCCGACTAGCAAATGTTCAGCGTAAAGCAGTGAGATTTATGTTTGTAATGTACAAACGTCTAGGTTCCCCCACACAGTTGACGAAGCTCAATATACTAACGCAGGAAGCCCGGAGAAAGGTTTACCGCCTTTCATTCCTTAGCAACTGCCTAAAAGGTAAAATCAATTTATCTTTCTTAGCATCTGGTAAGCGTCTCAGTACAAGAACAATACGGCACTATCAGAAACATTCATTAGCACCGATCCTCGCTCCCACAAATTCACTTCATTACAGTTTCTTCCCTGATACGGTCGCGGATTAGAATTCGGTAAGATATAGTACATTCAGCTCCGATGACGTTTTTAGCAATATTCGATATACCATGTTACAAAGGTCTAGCATTCTTCTGGTTACCCTCACTGCTTGCTTCTATTACATGTTTTTATGGCCCTTTCTTTCAATGACTTTCGTACTAACTTTATTGTTTGTTTTGTTTCTTGTGTTCAACATTGCGTTGTTTGGATATAATTTTTGCATTGTACCTGAAGGCTATGCTGCTTGAGACAAAATGTTGGCCTGCAGTATTTCAAATAAAGGAATAAATGAAATAAAGAAACGTGTCGTCGGTTTAATGCCCAGTCCCCCATAGTGGGTATGAGCCAAACATAAGAAGAAGCAAGCAAGCAAGCAAACGTGGACGTTCACGAGCAGGCAAAGCGCACGGTCATTTTTCGCGAGCTGCCAACCGTACCGCCATTGTCCAAACGATCCTCGGCGCACGGTACATCCGGCGAGCTACAGATCACTACAGATCCGCACGTATCACCGCCTTCTCTGGCATCGGATAGGGTCCCTGGAATGATGAATAACTACGTCATCATAGAGAAGATTGGCGAAGGTGCGTACGGTGCCGTGTACAAGGCAAAGTGCAAGGCCACCAACAAGATCGTCGCTATAAAGCAGATCCAGGTCCAGGACGAAGACGAAGGGATTCCTGCCACAACAATACGAGAGGTGGCCCTCCTCCAGGAGTTGAAGCATGAGAACATGGTGCGTCACATAGAAGTCGTCATGCCACCGTCGAAGGCTGTACACTTGGTCTTCGAGTACATGACCATGGACCTGAGGGCGCTCTTGGATTCTCATGCCATGAACAGGACCTTCGATGACGCCGGCGTTAAGAAGTACCTCGGTCAGATTGTTGGAGCCATTCTATTCTGTCATCAAAGAAGAGTTCTGCACCACGACCTCAACCCAGCCAACGTGCTTGTTGACAGAAACGGTAACCTCAAGTTGACCGACTTCGGCTTGTCCCGTGCCTTTACGCCACCAGTGTGTATATTCAGCCACATAGTGGGCACCCACTGGATAGCGTGCGCCGGAGATGCTCTTGGGTGCCAGTCGTTACTCGACACCGGTGGACGTGTGGATCATCCGGTGCATCTTTTTCGAGCTACTGACCGGCAAAACTCTTCTACGCGGGGATTCGGAGATTGACCAGCCGTTCCGAATCTTCTGCTTCATGACTAACCGACAGTACAGAGCTGGCCGGAAGTTATGCAGCTGAAAAACTTCAAGTCGACCTTTCCCATATGGAGAGAGAATATCGTGGCCACGCTGCTTCCTGGGGTGGGCTGCGAGGCTGTAGATCTGCTTTTGAGAATGGCTATTTACAGCCCTGACGAGAGGATTTCGGCCAAACATGCCACAACACACCCCTATCTGGCCGGATCAAGAGATTGCAAGCGGGCGGCACACTCCACCGAGAAAGAAGGGCAATGAGACTGTCTTGGCAGCTCGAACTCTTTGTCTACCGTTGCTGCGGGCAAAGCTGGACCCGCAGGATCACTCAACACTCGATTGGAGTACCTAGGAGAATTAACAGAAATAAAAGTTACGTGGAGTTGCTGCGCGCCGACTCCGCCGGCCGTCGCTGCATTTGTATTAGTGTTGTGTTCACGTTTTCGTGGTGCACTTGTGTGTGTGCTAGATGTAGCCAAATTATGCTCAACATCCTCAGAAACGCTGAAGCACGGTCGCTGCAGAAGTATTATTGAATTGGGACCTTCTGCCTCACTTCAACAGAGCCACGTGGCATGAGACAAAGATTGTTTCAAGAAAGGTTAGCAGCCCCAAGTGCCCAGGTGTTCTAAATTTTCGGAGACGTACAATTTTCAGCTGTTCGCGTAAATCAGGGTATCTCACTGCGTAATCCTGACGAGTGATGAAAAGAAATCTTTACATGACATCCGAGTATACAGTTTTCTCTGTATTACCAAAAAGAACACCAGGTGGTCGAACTTTCCGGAGCCCTCCTTTACGACGTCTCTCATAATCACATGGTGTGTTTGGGTAGTTGAACTCCACATATATTTAAATAAATAAATACATAAATAAATAAATAAAAAAAATAAAGTTAGAGTTCCGGAAACCATTTCGTGGTTTGCAGCGTAACTTTTTTTCTCACTATTATAAGCGATTGTGAATGAAAGACAGATCCATCTAAAGTCTCCTGCATCTCAAAGCGGAATTCTTTGTAATCAGCTATATTATTTGCAAAGGCAGACATAACTTGCTATGGTAAATCGCAATGCTGTGGGTAAACTGAAAACGTCCTAATTTCATTCGTAATACTTCGGCACAAATATTTAATCGCGCTGTCTATGCCAAGTTGTGATGAAGTTAGACCCATTTAGCAAGAAAAATTTCTTAGCATTGGTTTCGTCGAGTACTCTCATGGTGAAACCAACTAATGTCTCGCTGTCCTGCAACTTCAAAGTGGATCCATACTTTCTGCAAAAAGTTAACCTTTAACAGCATTGAATGCCTTAACTTTGTACCTTCAGTGATCTACTGCTCGAATTTGAGAAGAAATTACCACCATATCACTCAAGAGCGGGAACACGGCGGGCTCGGAAAGAAGCAACCGTCGGCACGCGTAGGCGTACACTGTAAACCAAATTACACCCATATAGGTGTTTTACAGTGTCTATAACTCACACCCCTACACCCCACGAAATGGGTGTATTAAGCAGGACTACACCTATACCGTGGGGCGGATTTCCGAATTCACACCCTATGGCACAAATATTTTTTCGGGTGTAAAGACAAATGTACACCCAAGTGGCCTTAAGGGAGTGAGGGTATAAAAGCGAATGTACACCCAAGTAATCTCAAAGGCGTAAGGGTGTAATATTGCTATGACACCCTAACACCCTTAAAAAACAAAAGTAGTGTAGTGGTGTAATTGCTCAAACAGCAAAAAGGGTGTGGGTGTGTTCATGCTGAATAATGCCCCAACACCCATGCAAAAATACCATAATTCGAAAGTTACCCCTTTCCAGTAGGCCCCTGTGGAAGCACGTGAAAGCTTACCCTTTAGCTAGACCCTTCATGTGCAGATGCCCTATTGTAGTGGCTCCTGCCACAGTGTGGTAATCTTGGTCTTAGCACAGCTTTTATGGTGCATATATGAAGCACGGCATATAAGGCTCTCACATATAACACGTAATCCTAGCTTAATGCAAAGGAATCACTCAAAATGAGCTGCCACACATAACACAACGATCACAAAGTCATGCCATTGTGCAAAACGAAATCAAGCTTTATTTTATTAGGCACAGAGCACATACAAGATTCAGAGACAAACTGTACCTTAATCAAAAGCCTTTTTCAATTGTGCAGAGCAGAATGCCATTTGCTACAAAAGAAGACCGGAAATCAGACGTCAATGGTACGGCATGGAGCTCTAAGGACCAATGCATGCATATCAAAGTACAACAAAAGAGCCTTTATTTGCACTTAAAAACAAAGAACTAATTTTAACATGCTTCAATTCAGCACAAAAGCACAGTGCACTGAAGCATACAAACAGCGGGAAGAGTAGTGCGATGCAGCATGCCTTATTTCTCCAATATACTGAAATAATATATCAATGCACACTACAATTGCCACATTGATACGCCACAGTTTGCATGTGTTCTGGCATGCCTTATGCATATTATGCAAGGCTAGTGGTATTCTAATGAATGTAATGACAAAACAGTGTTAAAATGGCATTTTCATTTCACAATAACCCTTGTTCAGACATTCAGAATACTGGAGAAACAATAATGCATGAGTGAAAACAATAGGCAAAATTACAATAGCTTAACAGTGTCACTAGATACTAACCACGCAGAATATTTGATTTAAAGATGTAAAATATCAAGCGCATCACATAATATGTCCCCCTGAAACAATGCAACATCAAAGAACATACAATGGACACACAAAAGCAGGGTGAAAGAGTAACCACTTACAGCTAGCAGAGGTGGAGCAGCCAAGCTATCACCTGGAGCAATATTTTGGAACATCATATCTTGCTTTTCCAGGGAGAAAATTTAAATTTGGAGCACGTTTTAGGAAAAACAAACACAGCATTTTTGAGCTTGAAATTTCAAATTTACAGCATTGATTGATAGGTGCAGTTTAACGTCCCCAAACCACCATATGGTTATGAGAAACGTCGTAGTGTAGGGCTCCGGAAATTTTAAACACCTGGGGTTCTTTAACGTGCACCCAAATCTGAGCACACGAGCCTACAGCGTTTCTGCCTCCATCGGAAGTGCAGACACCGCAGCCATGATTCGATCCCACAACCTGGGGGTCAGCAGCCGAGTACCATAGCCCCTAGACCACCGTCGCGGGGCTCTAAATTTACAGTAGTACAACAAATTAGACTGAATCACACAAAAAAATATATGTAGAAATTATTCGACATACGCTAATTCATTCAAAATACACGAGAGCGCAGTTATTTCAACAAAAGCACTCTTGAATGATCTCACAGTGCAAACAATGCTATCCTCCCTATATACGAACGCTCCTCGACTCGAATCTCATCCTTCACTTGTACTAGCTGAGCACAGCGCCACCGCTTGTCTAAAAATGACGCTGCGTTTCTTGAGAATCGCAGCAGATTATCCCTGATATTGAGTGACTTGTTCTAACCTAGAGACTGCGCTGGAATCAATTCTCTCAAGTCAAGGTGAAGCATTTAGTGAAGGGACGTTCTAAAATACGGGTGTAAAACTCGCAGTAGCATTTGGCGAGCTGTCACACTGTTTGACAGGCGACCCAGAAATTCCAGATATTCGTAAAGGAGGAGCTCAAGGGGGTGGCGAAAAGAAAAAAAGTGGCATACGATTTTCTTTATCGTCGCTTAAGGCTGCAAAAATCTCATAAATCACTCTGAAAGACGGCCAGCACTTATACTAGTACTCGTTATTGAATGGTATCTGCACGGCAGAGTAATATATAGGGAAAAAAATATTTTGTGTCCTGTGACAGCGAGCCACTTCCAAATCAAAAAGCACTTTTCCGCAGAGCGAAAGCGTACCCTGGCAAAAGCGACTTAAAAAGCGTTATGGACGTCATAGAAAGGGGAGGGGGAGAACTATCTTTTAAACCGTTCCACTCTTTTCTTTTGCTGTGAGGTTAGAATATAGTCAAATAAAAGTTATAATTACGGTTGGCACATCTGTATTAGATTGCATGATGATGACGCCGCCTCGATGGTTTAGTCGCCAAAGTACTCAGCTGCACTTTTCATGCAGGCGGAAATGCTGTAGGCCCATTTCCTTAGATTTGGGTGCACAAGAACCCAAGGTGGCCGGAATTTCTGGAGCCCTCTCCTAAAGCGTCTCATAATCAAATGGTGGCTTTAGGACATTAAACTGCACACATCAATCAATTGGATGGTGATGCGCAAACTTAAGTTGAATAATGGATTTTATGTTTCTTGATAAAATTAACAATACTGAGAAATAATTGAGGCTGGTTGGGCATTTCATAATGGTTTGTGCAAAATTAGGAAATTGTATCCGATTGACACAATTGGCACGGCTGCTGTTCTCTTGAACATGCAAATATGAATACGAAAATATCATGTAATCTTGTGCTACAGATACTAAATATGTGCTGTAAATAGACATGAATCCCTGAATTGAATAGTCAATTTCACGTCGAAACCACGACCACACAAAAAAAAACACATGGACAGGACGGGTGCTCACTAGCAGCTGTTTGTACCATATATTCATAATATACCATATATTCATACGTACAACCTTAAAAAGGTGGCGAGTCGGCATGAAGTACTGATGGTGTTCGTGCCCCTAACAAACTAGCAAAATCGCGCCGGTGCATCACTGAAAATCATGCTGAGCAGCTGAAAGGCTGTAAAAAGAAGCATGCGTGGCCATTCACGAAGTCTGCCACTGAAGTGGTTTACAAAATACCCCTATCGTGCAGAAAGAGACATGTTAGCCACACGACGAGGCGCTGCGTCAATGATCGAGCGAGGGAACACGCCCTTACGGCAAAGAATATCGATGGTGCCCGTTCAAGAGCGCATGTCACTTCATGTGGATTCACACCAAGAGCCATTTCGATGGGCTTTCACAAAAGAAAAGGGGTATCAATTGCGTTAGCAAAACTTCACTCATCATGTATGA